GTCTCTTATCAAATGGATCTGAATTCTAGCCTTTTTTGTGATACAAGTTTGAAATAACGATTGGATGAGGCGTTTTTCTTGACGACTTTTAACAGCTTTGTATCGTTCTTTAATGGCATTACAAAGGACTCTATAGTTATTTTCACTCTGACTATTGTTTTCAACTTTGCCACTGCTGTATTTCTTTGACTTTCTTTGCAATCTTTTTTTATATTTTCGAACTTTTTTCTCTAACTGGTCTATTTTATCTTGTAACTTAATATTATCTCTGTATAACTTTGTTCTATCTCTCCTCACTTTCTTTCTTCCTCTTGAACTACATGCTTCCGAAGGAGTCGGTGTAGCACAACAGGAACTGGAACTTATTTCTGGGGCTTCTGATATTGTCGATGGAGTCGGCGTATTTAAAAGTAGGTTTTCAAGCATCTGTTTCTTTTCTCTTCTTTTTTTATTTCCTTGTTGCCATTTGCGCTTCATAATTTGATGTTCTCTCACGCTCATGTTTGCCACCAGCTTTTTTCGAGCGTGGTATCTCTCTAAATCCTTGCGCTTTACTTCAGCTACTTTCTCAGGATCATTTTTTCGTTTCTCCCGACAACGCCGCTGTCTCTCTGCTGCTGTTAATGCCTTCTTTTTCGCCATGAGGTTACCTTGAAATAAAAAAAAGAATAAGGAAACTATATTCAAAGACACTCTCAACCAAAAACAGATTACATTCAGCATAAATACTATTGAATATAAAAAAATAAATAAGCAAGGAAACTATATTCAAGAAAACTCTAAAAAAAAACAGATTATATTCAGCATAAATACTATTAAAATATAAAAAAAAATAAATAAGCAAGGAAACTATATTCAAGGACACTCTCAAACAAAGCAGACTATATTCAGCATAAATACTACGCGATAATATTAATTTGACCGCTTCGTCACGAACTTCACAACTCAGTCACAAAAATTATGTGACATAGTTGTTGTGTGACAGAGGGGTAAAAATTGGTTGTAAAGTAGATAATATTTAAACGTTAATATAAAATATACGATTAACATGTTGGTATGAACGTGTTTCTTATTACGTAAGAGGAGGTAACAAAAAATAACTACAACTAATATTATTTTTATCGATTACTTACGTGACGAAGCTGTCCCCGAATAAACACACGCACCTCCTGCCACAGTTTGCGAACGACTGACGAGTGATCTCTGGATCCTAGAGGGGAAATCGTACTTAGGAGAGAGGTAGGCTTGAATATCCAGTCAACGACAGTAGAGACCAGCAGCGTATACACCCGCTTCAAATTACAATCGACGTGACAGAATTTACGTACTTAAAAATCCACAGCGAGAGACAAGTTTTAAATTTTTTTTTAAATATTACTAAAACTGACAAAAAATAAGAATTGCTATTCCATGATTGCTTATATCTTTCAGAGTTTAAACGTAGTCTTAGAATTTATGTCGTCATATAATTTTTTCCTAACATTATGCAATATATCTAAGTCAAGGTGGAAGGAGACAAGTGTGATTTGTATGAAATACGCTTCTGTCACGCTGATTTACAACTCTTTAACGTAATTTTTGCTACTAAAATATAATTATAATATTTTTTTAAACGTGCTCAGCTCTTAAGTACCTAGTACAGTGCATGTTGAAATATATATAAAAAATTAATATGGGTAATTCTCTTGAATTTTTCTTCCTCAACTGATGGAGACATGCTTTTGTAGGTTAAAAAGAAGAACAACCCACATTCTTTGCAAAATCAATACAAATTGCTTCCATTTTTTTCGTTCCTCTGCTGGTTCTTCTTGCTTCCCTTCTTCGTGAATAGAATGCCTCAGCCTTTTAGTAGTATCGGTGCGCGGATATGATTGCTGATTGAAATAAAGAATACATTTTTTACATTCAGTTTTATGAAATAATCGTTTTAGAAATGCGAACTTTTTCTACATGCCTGTTTATATTTTTACAAGAAACAAAACGAGTATTTCTTTTATGTTATATTATAGCAATGCATAAATGTCTTGTTGAACATTTGATCACCCAGAAAAATAATGATGTTCGATAGTTACAAATGTTTGTTCTTACAAGAAAATTTTCTGTTATTAAAACACGCATTGTTTAATGATAATTTTTAAATTAATCCAACGCTACCTACCGTAAAACTTGTGACATATCTGGTTCTTTCATTGGACGCATGGACAAAGCTGGTTATTTCTCGGTACCCCGAAACTTTGAAGTGTTATTACTCACGAAAAGACTCCTTTTTGCCCTGTACGATAGCACTAAAATGTGTTTCTTCGCGTGTTCTATAACATACAATATAAATCTGAAATTTGAAAAAAAATAACATGTCTGGTTTTTTCCCTGTAGTCTTCATCTGTACTTTATAATAAACATACCTGTGTCTTCATCTGTCAGAACTACACTATTATTGGATTCACTGAATTCATCTTCACTAGATGAATTATTATTTAATATATTATATAATTGATCAGTACTATATTTTGATCTTTTACAGTTTGAATTACAGTAGAACCCCTCTAATCCGTCACCCTCGGGACTAGCAGTATGGTCGGAACGCAAGAAAGGTCGGATTATCAGAAAAAGTCATTGTGTATGACGTATGTATGTGTTTTTAAAAAACGACTGTATTATTCTCTACAGTGATATAATAAATAATTATATTTCAATAAAATACAAGAAAGCTTTTGTTTGTACATTATTTATTAAATATGTATGTAAATATATAATGTCAAAAAAGGTAGCATAAAAATTAGTGCTTACCTATGTAGGCCTACTTAGTAAAAAAATCAGTAATAGATTTTTGTTTACAAGATGAAATTCTGGATTTAGCTGCAATGTTCCTCCATTTTTTCATCCACACGATGTCCATCGGTGTTGATGCTGAGTTCTGCTCAATGTACTGAAGGCCAATTTCAAAAGCATTCTTGGCATCGGTGTGTGAAATCCGGACAGGAGGCTCGTCATCATCATCACTGTCGGATTCTGAGTTCACGATTCCGTCACCGTCACGTTCCATAACAGCGGCAACAATTTCGTTATCGTTCAGCACTTCACTGGTTTCGCAGTTTTTGTCACATTGTTCAATCCACTCCTCAACTTCACTAGCAGGTATATTTGCATCCAGGGTCTGAAGATTGGTAACGATTTCCTGCACGTCGTTTTGCTCATCTTCGACCTGGTCAATTTCGATCATAACTTCTGGCCAAAGCTTACGCCAAGATTTTCTTAGCGTGTCAGGATTTAGTTCTGCCCAAGACTCAGCCATTGTATAGATAGCATCTTTAATGTTGAGTGATTTCATGGCTTGGAAAATATCACATCCTTCTTCGGATTTTTCTAAAATCGAGCTTATGTATTTTCGGCGATAACGCCTTTTAAAACATTCTATCACGCCCTGGTCCATAGGCTGGATAAGTGATGTGACATTTGGTGGGAGGAAGATAGCTTTTATATCCCCTTTTACTAAATCTTCCTCAGAAGGGTGCGATGGTGCGTTGTCTAATAGCAGTAGAGCTCGAACAGGAAGATTTTTTTTCGTCAAGTCCTTCTCAACACATGGCACAAACTCGTCAAAAAACCAAGATTTGAAAAGATTGCAGTCCATCCAAGCAGATTTTTGGTTGCGATAATAAACCGGCACGGATGATAAGTTTATGTTTTTGAAAGCCCTGGGCTTCTTAGATTTGCCTATGACAAACAGCGAAAGCTTGTGTGTTCCATCAGCATTGCTACAAGGAGCAACAGTTAGCCTATCTTTCATGAGTTTCGTTCCCGCTACGGTTTCATTTGACGCACTTAAGGTTTTGTTTGGAAGCATTTTATAGTTTAGGCCTGTCTCGTCTATGTTATAGACTTGGCAAGGTAACAGTTCATTTTCTTTTACAATTTGTTGAAACTTCACAGAAAACTCCTTAGCCGCCTCGACGTCAGCAGATAATTTTTCACCACAAATTGAGACAAACCGGATACCATGACGGGTTTTCCAACGATCAATCCAGCCTTCACTGGCTTTAAATTCACTTCCGACTTCTAGTTTTTTTGTGCAAAATTATTGCCTTTTCTTTTATAAATGAAATGAGGTTGAATGCTCGAATAAATGAACTTTGAAAATAAGGCTATTATCGAGCACAAGTTAATTAAATCTAGCCCAAGTACTTTCACTTAAAATAGCATCTTCAGGGGCATTTCGTCAAAATGTGAACTATCCGGCAAGCGTAGAATGTGGAAACATTAAAAATAACATAAATTGTACAAAACACTACACTAAAACGAGGACAAACAGTTTAAAATTACTTCTACGCTACATTCTCTGTCAGTATCTGGAGGGATAATGATTATCCCTCCAGAAATTAACCGAATCCCTTAAATGAACACTGATCCGTCCCGTCGCTATCTGCATTTTCTTCAGACTCTGAAGCTTCCTCTTCATCACTTTCAAAGACAGACTCCGACTGATCTGAATTGGATATTATCATTGGTTCCGGTTCAGATTCTAATGCAGGATTGACTGTGAAGCTAGAGCCAGCAATTGATTCTGAACTGGATGATTCACTTGGCTGTAGTTCAGCCATTAATTTTAAATTATGAGCCACATACACGATTTTTGACGCTCGAGTATTGGTCAGCCTGTTTCTCTTGTTGGTGTGAATTCCCGAATATGAAGAAAAGGATCTTTCACATGCTGCTGATGTCGCTGGCAACTCTAGAAAACGAATCGCCAACTTGGAGAGTGCGGTATTTGAGCAAAGACCACTCCACCAGGCAATAGGGCTGATAGCTGCAATTGTGTCCTCATTCCATAGAAAAGCCTTTTTGAATAGTCCTTCTTTTGCAATAAAATTGACGTCAGCTAAGACGGCTGCTTCATCGACATCTGGCATCTTCTGTGCTACCTTGTATATGACTTCTGTCGCATCAGTCTACATTAAATAAAAAAATTAATATAAATATAAATAAAACCCACTATAACCTAAAAAAATTTACCATCTCATCTGAGCTAAGTTCGCAGCCACGATATTTTGGATCCAAAAGGTTAGCTACAAAATGAACACTATAAATAGCAAACTTCTTCCGATTTTCAAAAATTGCCCTTGTATCTGCTTCCTCTTTGGATAGCAATGGACTTTTAGTGACATTTTCTAATGAGGTGTTAACCATTTTTTTAAATAAATGCAGACATTTTGAAATCGTTGGTGTGTCACCTTCTACAGAGGTAATTGTGTTAGCAATTGGTTCCAGAAGCATAATGTATCCTTGTACCCGGTCCCAAAATATATCGCTTAGAGCATTTTTTTTAAAGATGGGTGTTTGCTTACTGCCTTTTCAACTTCTTCATTGATAGCCATCCTTTTTATTATTTGTTTGTTAGCAAGCAATGATTGTAGACAAAGAACTAATGATCCCCATCTGGTAGGCACTGGGAGTTTAAGACTGCAACTTATTTTTAATTCGTTTTGTTTTTCCTTTACCCACGCAGATAATATGTGGCTTTGTCGGATGGCCTTTGTAAGGGCAACAGCCTCGGCAGTAAACGATTTCAGACTTGTTAAATTTTTGAGATCGGTAAATATTAAATTAAGAGAATGAGCAAAGCATCCATAGGTAAAAATGTTATTATCAAAATCATTTTCAATCAAGGCCCAAGCAGCTTTCATGTTTGCTGCATTGTCTGTGACTATACCAAATACCTTTCGGGGACCGATTTCACGTATTACTGCACCAAGGGTTTTTGCCATATATTCTGCAGTATGAGGTGCAGTGCCTGTGGGCATAATTTTAAAAAGGAATGGCTTTGGAGTTGTTACAACAAAGTTTAGGACAGCCTCGTTCCTAATATTGGACCATCCATCCACCATTAGTCCAACAGAATGTGCTCCAGCTTAAAGTAAAGAGATAATTATTTTTAACCTACTAGCATAATGTAGGTTTACTTATATTAAAGTCGGGCCGTTCTAAAATTACTGAAATATATACGACGGACGGTGTGGTACAACACTGTACCGCATCTGGTTGCTGTTCAAGGTCTTTCCTGTTAAACTTCGTCCGTAGTACGTTGTTCAGTGGTAATTTTACAGCGGCTCGCCTATATATTGTCAATGTTTTAATAAATATAATAACAGTAAATTAAATATTTTTTTTAAATTCCAAAATTCCCCAAATTACATTAGTTTTAATGAACTAATACGGTTCCAACCGGAGTCGATGCCAAATTACATCATTTTGTACAACACTCCTTGGTAATGATGCAATGGCATCGAAACCGGTTGGAACCGTATTAGATTATTATTAAAACTAATGTAATTTGTGGATTTTCTAAAAAATATTTAATTTATTGTTATTACGCAGAATTTCACAGAGTAAGGGCCGAAACAATAAATTTTAATAAATATGGTAAAACTTAAATCTTACCAATGTTTTCCGAAACCATAGCCTTTACACGTAGGTGCTCACTGTCTAATAGTGGGCCTGATAAAAGGTGTCGGGTTGGTATCTGATAAGCAGGTCTGAGAAATTTAAACAACTTCTGCCACTGTATATTTTCTACTAAAGCCAGTGGTGCTTGACTTGAATAGATAGCCCGGCTAAGCAGTTCATCGGCTTTTACTTTTTGTTCAGGTGTCATTTTATCCATGAATGCGGACACCTCTTTAGATTGTGATTTCGGTTTTTCTGTAAATAAAATTCCCAAATTTATTAAATTTAAAAATAAGTCTGTAAAGTAAGTGTAGATAAAATTAGTATCTACACAATAGGACACACATGAAGAATGTCCTTAAAATGTGAGAGAGTGTATAGCATAGATTGCTGGCTGGCATTGTCTAAAAGAGCTTTGACATAAATTCGTTTGCCAGATTTGTCAAAGAGATATACTTCAACTGTACTCAGTAATACTATAGAGTTGTTAGGATAGTTGAAACAACATTTGAGAGTGTAACTGCATTGGTGCTGTGTGAAACATTATCTATAACTTCTGGAAGTGAGCGAGAAGTAGACGGGTGGTTGTCTACAGGACTGTGAGTATTAGAATTCTGAGGGACAGAACTACAGTTACCATTGAGAGACCTTGACGGTTGAGAGTGAGCAGAGTAGTGTGACGTCCTGATCTCCATATGTAGCAGAGAATTATGACGTTGGTTACAGTGAAAACACGTTTTACTACTAGGACATTCTTTAATCAAATGTTTATTGCCTAAACAATTAAAACATAACGAGTGCTGCTTGACAAATTCACGTCTAGAGGCAACATTTTGGGACTTAAAATCTTTACAAACATAAATAGAATGAGACTTGTTTTTACAGTATGCACATGACTTATTAAAGGAAGTAGAACGAGACGATGCCAAATTTTGTTTAGCATCAGTATGGGTATGACATGAAAATCGTACATCTTTGTTACCGGAGGGTTTAGACTTATCTGTGGTGATGGAAAGCATTTCTAAATGGCGGACTCGATTTTCTATCGCACTCATAAATTGGGAAACATCTGATTGCTCAAGTTCATGTTCTTGAGAAAATTCTAACTGCCGAAGTGTAGCATTGTCTAATTTCTGGCTGATAAGATGTATAAAAACTAAATTTAACAACTTCTCGTGCGATAAATTAAGGTTTAGAAGAGATTTATATGCATTGGAGACGGTTGTGTGAAATTCTCTGAGCTGGGTAAAGGTTGCATTATTAGGTAACCCTTTTGTATCAATAATCTTTGCAAATAACTGTTTAATAACTATACGATTATTGGAATACCTATTAACTAACGTGGAAAGTGCAATGTTGTAATTAGACTCTATAAGTGTGAGGTTCTCTATTAGCTGAAGGGCTCTCCTTTTAACAGAGAACGCAAATAAATAAACTTTTCTATACTAGTAAGTGATGTATCTGCATCTACTGTGCTAGTAAATATTTGAAGAAAGGTTTGAAATTTGTTGAAATCGCCAGAAAAACATTCCAATTGGATTTGCGGAAGTTTTATGCTTCTTTGCGTGGGTAAACTAGAGGGATTATTTTGAGAAAAAGAACTAGAAGAACTGCTATTTTCTGTTAACCTAAATTTAAGCAAATTCTCCTCAAGCGTGGAAAGCATATTTAAATAAATATTATCGATGATGTTTGTATCTTCATCATCTTCAGCTTCAGAGGATTCTATTTCATCTTGGGCTTGGCAATAAGAATCATACGCCTTTTTTAAATGCAAAATACGATCTTTAGTGGAGTGAATAGTGAGATTAGCCAAATTTATATCGAGATAATTATTTAATTTTGTCAATTTAGTTTTTGCCAAGCGCCTATTTTTAAAACTTTGTGTTAACTCCATCTTTGACATGTAATGCCAATTTATATATACAAAATAATACCTAAACTATAAAATGATTTTAAAGAGACTAAACAAATGAAAATACTAAAGGTAGAAAAAAATATAAGATATTTTGGTGGGGGTTTGAACCAAAGTGCTAAGAAAAAGATTACAGGTAGAGAAGAGCCTCAAAATCCGGCTCGAAGGACCACTTTATGTAGATAAAATTAGTATCTACACAATAGGACAAACATGAAGAATGTCCTTAAAATGAGAGAGTGTATAGCATAGATTGCTGGTTAAAAAAATATGAGAGCTCTTACCTGTAATATAAGAATGTCTTAACACTAACGGTTCAAAAAGCTATCCAAAGGTACAAAACGATTTATTATAGAGAAAAAGAGAGAAAAACAAATAGCATAAATAAAATTAGTACAAATACATAAAGAACTCAACAAAAATCCTACTACTAAATACTACTTACTAGCCAACAAGTCTTTCAAAAGTGTATGTGCACTATTGTCTATCCAAGTCGTTATCACGAAGATCCTGGATCAAGAGATGCGGAGATGTGGTAACCATTTGTCAAAGGCCATCCAGAGAACCATGCAAAAACTTCGAACACTTCGAAAAAAGGCCACTACTGTATTATAATCAATAAGTATCTGTGATTATAATAATTTATTGCTGTTATACCTACAGCGGGACAAATCGTTGACCGATTTGGAGAGCACTTAACTACTACTACTTTTTGAGGATTAAATCCTTGACGGATTCGTAAGGACTTCTGTCCAGCAGAGATGTTGCACCGTGCGGGACTAAAATTCACTCTGAGAGTAGGCGGGGTGCCTGATTTTTCGGGGAGTCTTCTTTTAAAGCGCACCAAAAAACTATCTACTAAAAAACTATTGGCACATTTTTTTGACAGATGTTTTACAATGACATTTTACAGAATTTTACAATATCATTTTTTTAGAGTGAGTGCACCTTTGTCAAAAGTGGAGTTAAATACTAAATTAAAAATATTAATAAATAGTTTTATATGTTCGAATGGATTTATTCGAACAGTAAGGTTATCTTTAGGAATTTCTACTAAATAAAGAAGAGGGAAATTTGGAAATATTTCTGGAATATTTTTGGAAAAGTTAAAGGTACCTACCTTTAATTTTTTCCTCCCTTTTTTCATGTATTGTTTGTAATAGTCCAATGTTTCGTTGTTTTCTCTCCGTCACTCCATACTTTATTTTAACTTCCTCTGGACATTTTAGGCATTTTTTAATATGTTCCAACAAACGTGTCCCATTTTTTGATAGTTGAAGTGTATAAAAAGTACACTCTACTTAAGGAGTTTTTTTCTGTGTTTTTAGCATTTTAAACAGGGAACTTACTTTGCAACTTTTCCTTCCCCGTGATTCCTGCGAAGAACAATAACTCGAATTCGAAGACATTATAAACATTCAGTTTTTGTCACTAATGTCACTACAGTAGGTAACAAATAATTTATTATCATAAAACACAGAAAATATAATTAACAATAATTAATTTATTTAAACACATTTAAATAAGCACTTAACACAAATATTTCCGGCACAAGGCAAGTAAATCACAAAATAACAACGGAACACCTGCCAAAGCTAATCGGTAATTCCCCGGTTTTCTCAGTGCCAACGAATACGAGCGTCCTGCTAAATTTCGGTGATTCCCCAAAAGCAACGACGTAAAAAAATAATAGATAAAGGCAGTAAGGGTTTAATGTTTCAATATTTTTTAAAAAGGAACGTCAAACACTGAGTTTCTAGATATTTTGGATATAAGTGGTTCAATTAAAACCATTCCCAAAGACTTCAGAAATGATCTTCTATTATTAGATGCATTTTCTTTCTAATGGGGATTTACTAGAGAAAATAGCACCATTGCATTTATACCACTAGCATCAAGCATGTTAAAAAAAATTCTTAGTGAGCATCGTCTGGATCCAAGTAATCTGGTAACATTTATTTCTATTTCACTATCATTTTCATCAGTATTGGTATTGGAGTTTTGTTCTTCGACATAATCCTCCTCAGATTCGGAATCGGTACCAAAGATATTTTGACCGTCATCCTCGTTGTTTTCATTAGCAAATAAATTTTCAGCTTTCCTTTTCACTTCAGCTTGGATCAACGGACAACGTTTTTCCCAGTTTTCTTTTCAACTACATGAAGCTATTTCCCAAAAAAATCATAAAAAAAAATTAATAAATTATCGCAAACCTCACACATGGGTGCTACATACCCTAGCGTTTATTCAATAAATTATCGTGATTGAAGATATTGCTCGTTAGATCAGGATCATTTTCTTTATTCCCTTTTTGAACTTTGCGCAATGGTTTACTATAACTGAAAGAACATAGGGGGATTTTATTTCTCCTCCTGAATGTTGCTCACTGCTTGTTGGAGCAGTACCTTCGATTTTGGTTCGAGTGATAATAAATTAAAATGTGTTACCTTATATTTGGCGATCACAGCTCTCGGATTACACTTTAAAAAACACTTATTAGTTGAATTACTTTATTTAGCACTATGGTACAAATCTTTAGTGAGAATGAG